CGCGAAGAGTGCTCGCTGACCCAGTGACACAGAATTGTTGAGAACACCCACCTGCTGGACGCTACTGAGATCTTCAGGAAGCTGAACGTGCACAAGAAGGTGAGCTCTTCCAGGACGAGCGCGCTCAACCGCACACAAGCTGACTCGCTGCGCAGGAATCCTTCGTCAAGCTTGGTTTCCACCTTTTGCTCTTCTTCTTCTACCTCTACAGCATGATTGTCGCTCTCATCCGGGACGACACCAAATAAGCGCCATGCGCTTTCCAGCATCGACGCGGACGGCCTTCGGTACATAGCGCGACATTCTCGCGCCACGATACGAAACCAGACGAGACGATGGACGAACGACTATCCTCTAGATGCGCTTGCGAGGGCTGCTTAGGAGGGTGCGCTAGGCAAAGGCGTACCGGGCAACCGGACTAGACACGGTCATGAGATACCAGCAGGAAGGGGGACGGAGCGGCGGTGTTTGTGATGTTGGGTAACGTCCGACAGCACCGACGAGACGGCGACCGAAAAAAAAAAAAAAAGAATAGAGAGGTGTGCATGGACTACAGCTTCACGCCCCTCTACTACGCGGTCGATGACGAGGTGCTCCGGTTTACATGTGAGACTCATTCAGCTGTTTGGGAATTGGGAGGTTATGACGCGAAGACCAATACCTTGTATCTGTTTTCTGTTGCTTGCAGGCAGCTTTCCAGCCTGAAGCCGGGGGCGCGTGGCATAGGATTGAGTAATGACAACTATCTGGACAAAGAGTTTCTCTTGGATTTTCCCCCTTTGATTGTGTAACGCTTTCCGTGCCAGCTAGCTGCGCATACTGCGTGCTGCCTCACATTCTCCTTCCATCGCCCTCCATCTATCGCCAGCTCCGGTCCTGCATCCGTCCGAATCCTGTTTGTTCTGTGGCCGCCAAGTGGGGACGTTCGAGCTCGAATCCCATTTGCGATCACGTGACCTCCCGTTTCCTACGTCACGTCAAACCTCTGCCGACCGCGACAGAGGACGAAACATTTTGTAACCTGACCTCCCCCTGCCTAATCGCCCAAACGACAGACCACACGTGCCGCCATCCCCTCACGACAGGCCGCCCAGCATGTCCGGCTTCGGAGACTACCCGCCGAACATGGCGCCCCAGGACGCGCTGATCGTACGACGAGAAGCCGAGGCCGACCACGCCGTCGTCCCCTACTCGGGCGAGGACCTCGCGCGACCACGGATGGGGCCCGCGAACCCCTTCAAGGACGAGAGCGCCAACAGCGCCCTCAAGCGGAAGAACGTCCTCACGGGCTTCGCCGAGGAGACGCACGTGTCGGAGCACACCTTTCGCAGCAAGCACCGCGCCATCGAACGCAAGGGCGGGCCGGAACGGGAATACCAGAGCGGCGCACAGGTGAAGCAGGAGGCCGAGAGGATACGCGCAGGCCGCGAGGGCAAGGGCGACGCCGCGATCGCCGAGGGCGACGGCGCCTACGTCGGGCCCTGGGCGCGGTACAAGCGGCCCGAGTACGAGATTGTGGGGCGAGGGCGAGGCGCTCGCGAGCGACGAGGAGTACGAGGAGGTGACGGACGAGGACGACGTCGTCGAGAGCGGCACCGTCCTGCAGGCGCCCGAATCAGCCCTCGCGCGCCGCAAGGAGGTCGAGGCGCTCGGCGAGGAGACGACGACGTTCCACGGGGCCGCCGAGCGCGACTACCAGGGCCGGACCTACATGCACGTGCCCCAGGACCTGGACGTCGACCTGCGCAAGGACGTCGGCAGCATCACCAACTTTATCCCGAAGCGGCAGATCCACGTCTGGAAGGACCACGCCAAGGCCGTCACGGCGACACGCTTCTTCCCCGAGTCGGGCCACCTGCTCCTCTCGGCCTCGGCGGACTCGACGGTCAAGATCTGGGACGTGTACCACCAGCGGGAGCTGCTGCGGACGTATTCCGGACACACCAAGGCCATTTCGGATGCGACGTTCAACATCGACGGCACGCAGTTTCTGTCGGCGAGTTTTGACCGCCAGATTAAGCTCTGGGATACGGAAACGGGCACGTGTATCAGCCGGTTCTCGACGGGCAAGACGCCCCACGTGGTGCGCTTCAACCCGACAGCCGAGCACGCGCATGAGTTCGTCGCCGGCATGTCGGACAAGAAGATTGTGCAGTGGGACACGAGGGCGGGCAACGAAATCGTCCAGGAATACGGTGCGTTTTTTTTTTGTCTATAAAACATATTCCTTCACCTCTCTGATCGCCCCAAACTAATCCCTGACAGACCACCACTTGGCCGCCATCAATACCATCACATTCGTCGACGAGGGCCGCCGCTTCATGACAACGTCGGACGACAAGTCGCTGCGCGCGTGGGACTACAACATTCCCGTGCCCATCAAGTACATTGCCGAGCCGTACATGTACCCGATGACGCGGGCGGCGCCGCACCCGAGCGGCAAGTATGTCGCGTACCAGAGCTCGGACAACCAGATTGTCGTCTATGGCGCCAACGACAAGTTCCGCCAGAACCGCAAAAAGTCGTACCGCGGCCACAACAATGCCGGCACGGCCATCGACGTGGCCGTCAGCCACGACGGGCAGTTCCTCGCGTCGGGCGACACGCTCGGCTTCGTCGCCTTTTGGGACTGGAAGACGTGCAAGATGTACCACAAGCTCAAGGCCGGCGACGAGGCTGTCACGTGCGTCGCGTGGCACCCGCAGGAGTCGAGCAAGTTTGTGTCGGCCGGCATGGACGGGCTCATCAGGTACTGGGATTAGGCTCCGAATTGTTGTGTGTGTACTATGGCATGGTAGCATTGTTGGGCGTTTGGCGTGGCTTTACAAAAACAGGGGTGGCAGTTCAGAATCCTCCCAATAGATATCCTTCGCCTTTTCTTGCTTGATGCGTTGCGGAACTTGCTAGTGAATGCTGGGTTGCTTGCTCAAATAAACACGAGCTCTGTAAAGGTGGTTTTTGGGGGGGGTTTTGTTCTTGGTCTGTCCCGTTTGTTGGCCTTGTTCGCAGCAATATAGCCGAAAACTCGCTCCATCGGACCTCCAATATTGATCTAGACTGCAAGTATTATCTAGCGACGATTTGAAGGCTCACATCACTCCCCGTTGTCCGCCTTGGATTTCACGGGCCGAAACACCATGAGATCAACCAGCGAGTACGCAATCTCAGCAGCAGCAAGCACGGTAATCTCGCCATTCGTGTCATACGCCGGAGCCACTTCGACGACATCCGCGCCCACAACAGGCAAGCCCTCAAGCCCGTCAAGGATCGCCAGCAGCTCGCGCGTAGACCAGCCACCAGGTTCAGCCGTGCCAGTCCCTGCCCAGCGTCAGTCTCGCCGTTTTCTCCCATCATGTCACCCAGCATCTCAACAAGGGGGCAGGGGGCAGGGGAGCGTACCTGGCGCAAAGGCCGGATCGAGGACATCGATATCGACGCTGATGTACACCAACGAATCGCCAACGCGTTCGCGGATCCTCGAAACGACGCCCTGGACGCCGAGCGCGTCAATGTCCCGTGCCGTGACCATGGCGAAGCCGCAGCGCGCGTCGTTGCGGAGATCGCCCTTCCGGCGCACCAGCGGCGCGCGGACGCCGGCGTGGACGGATGAGTTGAGGATGAGGTGCTCTTCGTGCGCCACGTGCAGGAAGGTGCCGTGGTTGAGGGCGGCGTAGTCGGATATGTCGCCGCCCAGGACGGCCGGGTCCCAGGTGTCAATGTGGCTATCAAAGTGGATGACGGAGACGGGGCCCCAGCGCGCCGAGGTCGAGCGCAGGGCGGACAGGGTCGTGGTGTGGTCGCCGCCGAGCGTGAGGATGCGCGGCGTCGCCGAGACGGAGGCGTTGGCGGCGGGGCGGCCAGCGAGGACCTCATGGGCCTTGTCGAGGCGCTGGAGGGAGACGCGGCTGTCGAGCCAGGTGAGGTGGGCGTCGCCGCAGTCGACTACCGTGGCCCAGTCGGCGAGGGGGTTGCGGCCTTTGGGGGCTCGTCAGCATCGAGGGAGATCCTGTGTGGGAGGGAGGGGATGTACCAGTGTAGATGCTCCATTCGGGACCCTTGCGCTGGCTGCCGGTCCTGATGCCAGACGGGCCATAGCGAGCGCCTGGCCGGCCTGTTGTCGTCTATGGCATGGTCAGCACAGGGTAGGTACCTTATACTAGCTACAGGTTCGGGTGCAGTATGAGGTGCACGAACGGTATCATGAGGGGCGCCGAGGATGGCAATGTCGTACTTGTGGTCCTTTGCGTCCCGGTTGGAGAAGCAATTGACATACGGCAGGTTCGCAAATGTCCTGATGCCGGAGTAATGATTGCTGTCGGTCAGATCAACATCGTCATTGTCAAGCAAGGGTACCTGGGCGCTGGGTGGATGCGAGGCCCAGCACAAGTGGAGGAGAGGCGAGAGGAGGCTGACGGCTTTCATGTTGATTTTGATGGCCCTGGCACACGGACAAGTAGGGAGGCCCTGTTACGTTGGTGCGGTCATAGCAAGCCATACAGTATTCGGGCATCAGAAGATCCTCCTCCCATCGGTTACGTCAAATCAATGGGCTTCACCGGCCCTAACCCAGAAGCAGAACATCTGTCGGTGAGGGGCGGAGCCTCGGTGTCTTCACCTTGCCCGGTCTTCACCTGATGGTGTGAGTAAGCCAGGTGCTGGGGAAGCTGGGGTCCTTCCTGGCGGGACGCGTCCAAGTCCTCCCTGCCCATTGTCAACTTTTGTGAAGACCTTCTTAAAGACTTCCTGTCAAGGAGCCCTTCGTCACATATTGCCCAATGATTCAGCTTTCGATGCAACAGGCAATTTATGATCACGATGAAGAATTCCTGACTCAGTCATCACTACTGAGGGCGTGCCAAGACGCTCGCTCACTGAGTCAGTGGCCTTGCACCCGCCCTGCCCGGACCTGCGGGTTCTCGTTTGCCGGCCTGGCCCAAGGCTCTTCGGCAAATCGTTTCCATTTTCGCTCCTGGCTCAACACCACCAAGGTGCCCTCGACTCTCACTTTCCTGAGCGCCAGCGTCAGCCTGAGCTTCGACGTCAGGCAATCAGTCATTCCAGAAACCCCCCGACTCACGCCACTCCAAAACCCCCCCCCAAATTCGTTGAGCGATTCGCGACCCTAGGCGTATTCAGTCATCGGACTTAAGCCAAGGTGGTGGGGTGCCAGTGAGACCAAGTGGTAGTGGCCCATGAACGAGGACATGGCTGATGGTGTTGGCCGTCTGCGTCGAGAAACGTTTCAACAGTGGCCTCGACTTGACGTGAATATGTATTTCGACAAGAGCGACTCTGCTAAGTCCGTTCGGCGATATGAGGGGCACTGCCTGTTGACAGAAACGGGAATGCCGGTGCTGCTCAGTTTCTTGCCAAGCCAGAGCAGTTATCCAGCGAGAGCAGCAAGGTGAGCTTGGACGATGACGCCCCCTCCTCGCCTGAAGCTCGAGCATCCAGCATGTCCCACGACGAGCCGCTTGCCCGTTCTAGGGTTACCGACGACCCATCCCCGATATTCTGGTCCTCTTTAACTCCATTTCCCCCTCATTTCCAGATCCGCGGGTGGCTCTATCCCCCACACCCCGCAGTCCCGCTGAGTTGATGGTGGTCTACCCTGGCCTCGAGCTACCGTACTTGGATCATCTTTGGCGTTGGCTCCATCCAGATTCCCCCAGACTGACGCGCCTCCTGACGTTCCACGGTGACCCTTTTTATCCTCGTCCTCCTCCCAACTTTCTTTACCTCGTCAAAGTCTGTTTGCCCTTGTTCACCTCGGCCAATTCTTTCCCACGCATGAACAGAGAGGATATCTACCTCGAACCCCCCTTCTCAACCCTCGGCCAAAAATGGCTACCACGCAGACAGCAACCGTCGAGGCCACGGCCACGGCCAAGGCCCCGGCCAAGACTCGCAAGCGAGCCCCCAAAGCCTGCCTGTCATGCCGCGCGAGGAAAGTGAGGTGTGATGTCTCTCAACGAGGACGCCCATGCATGAATTGCTATCTCGACAGCGAAAGTTGTGTTGTCACTGGCCGAGCGTCAAGGTTGTGAGTATATACGCGTCATCTTTGTCTTGTCTTCATATTGGACGAGTCTGTTTTCGAGTCAATCTGACTGTGAGAAATAGACGACCGCCGCCTGAGGATGCAGGGAAAATACAAATTTCATACGCCCCTCACCAGGGCGATGAGACTCACCAGCATGCAGCGGACACTGCTACTACACATCATGTGAATCCACCTGTGGTTCGCGATGACGGCAAGGGCCTTCATGAACACTCCACAGCGTCCCGGGACCTGGCCAGTCGGGAACTCGCCGGTCTTGTTGACGACTCATCACCAGAGGCAATCGGCGAAGCGCCGCAACCAAAATCGACAGAGAACCATGGCTCATGCCACCACGATCATCCTCCTCCCAAAACATCCCATGCCGCCAAGCCTGCCGCGACGAGCACCAAGGAGCCTTCAACAACACCTTTTCCGTCCTCCAATTCCTTCAATTCAGTACCAGCACCGCAATGAACAAGTACGTCCGACCAGCGGCAACACTCCATCATGACTCCGACGTTACGTACTCTATATCCTTCTCGCCATTGCAACATTCAT